TCAAGCTTATAGTTTCTTGTGAGCACTAAGCTTGTCGCGAAGGAAGTGAAACTTAATGTGGAGAGCGGCTTCGTGAGGATGTCCGTTGTCTGTTCTTGTGTGCTGATTTGGTGTAGTGAGATGATGTTCGAGTTGAGTTGATGTCTGACGAAGTGATGATCTATCATTATGTGCTTCGTTCGTGTGTGAAAAACTGGGTTGTTGGCCAGTGCTATTGTTGAGGTGTTGTCACAGTGAAGATCTGTTGGGTGCAAGGTAGGTATGTTGAAATCTTGTAGTAGCCGTCTCAGCCATAGAATGTTTGTGATAGTTGTTGCTAGAGCCCTGTATTCTGCTTCCGTTGACGATCTGACTACAGTATGTTGTTTCTTGATGCTTAAAGATATGAGTGTGTTGCCTAAAAATGAGCAATATCCGGATGTGGATTTTCTTATTTCTATGTCGTTTGCCCAGTCAGCGTCTGAGTATGAATGTATTTGACGTTGTCCCATGAAGATAAGTATGCCAAAGTCCAATGTTCCTTTTATGTATCAAAGTAATCTTTTGAGGAGGTATGCATGGTATGATTTTGGGTCATGCATGTGTTGACAGAGCAAGTTTATATGATATGCGATGTCTGGTCGAGTGATTGTGAGATATTATAGTGATCTTGTGAGTTGTCTATATGTATAAGGGTCATTGAGAAGGGGATCTGGGTTTATATTTTGTGGTGGTTTTGTGCACGAGGGATTTGAGAGTGGTTTGCAGAGACTAAGTCCTGCTATGTGCAGAATGGAAGAGGCATATTGTGTTTGAGATAAGAAAAGAGATGTGTCGTGTTTTGTTATGTTTATGTCAAGAAAATTGTTGGTTGTTCCAAGATGTTTCATTGAAAATTAGTTGTGCAACTGCGATATGATGTTTGAGATAAGAGAGTTGTTGTTACCTGTCATTAGTATGTCATCAACATACGTGAGTAAATAAACCTGCGAGTCTTCTTGAGTGAGAATGAGTAGAGAGGGGTCAGCTTTGCTTGGTTGGAATCTAATTTGTTGCAGAAAAGTTGAAAATGTTGTGAACCATTGCCTGGAGGCTTGTTTTAGACCATATAGTGCTTTTTGGAGAAGGCAAACGTGTCCCGGATTTTGTTTGTCTTCGTATCCTTGTGGTTGTTTCATATAGATTGTGTCTGTCAGTTTTCCATGTAAGAATGCGTTGGCTACATCCAATTGATGAACTACCCAGTTTTTGTTTAAAGCTACCGTGAGTAATACTTTGATGGTGGGGAATTTTGCTACCGGACTAAATGTCTCCAGGTAGTTAATCCCGTATTGTTGTTTGTGACCCTGAGCTACCAGTCTTGCTTTATGTCTTGCTATGGAGCCATTGGAATGTAACTTTGTTTTATATTGTCCATTTGCAACCAAGAATTGGAGTTTTGGGTGGTGGTGGAACGAGGGTTCATGTTGCTTGCTTCTGTAAAGCTGAGAATTATGTGTCCATAACTTGTCTCCAGTAATTATGTTTAGATGCCTCTTGATATGTTTGGGGGTCTTGAGGCTGAGTGTCTGTGGATTGATTGTGTTGATGTATAAGGTTGAGAATGATTTTTGGCTTAAGAGATCCCATCTTGAGTCTTGTTATCATCAGGTGTGATGGGGGTGGTGGTATGTTATTTGTCTGGGGAGGTGTCGTATTTTGTTGTGGTGTGGAGGTGTTAACAAGTGTTTGTTCATGGGTTATAATGTTTTGTGGTTCATGTTGATGATTGGAAGGTATGTGGTTTGTTTGAGTTGTAGGTGTAAGAAGCATGGGATTGTCTGTTATGGCAGTTTGGGATGTCATATTTGGTGATGTTTGATTGAATGGAAACGTGGTTTCATGAAATGTGACGTGCGAGAAATGGTAATGAGTTTTGTTTTGGGTTAAGACATTTATATCCCTTGTGTGATGTTGAATATCCCAGAAAAATGGATGGGATAGCTTTTGGGGCCAATTTGTGTCTATTTTGTGGGGAAATCCATGGGTAAAATGCACAACCAAATGTTTTTATGTGAGAGTAGTCAGGAGTTTTGTTGTATAACAACTGCAATGGGGTTTTGTTTTGGTTTGTGTGTGAAGGAAGTCTGCTAATAAGAGAAGATGCCGTGAGAACCGCATCTAGCCAGTAGAGATATGGTATTGAGGCTGTTTGTAGTAGAGTTCTTGTTGTTTTAATAAAGTGTCTATGTTTTCTTTCTGCAATTCCATTTTGTTCAGAGGTGTACGGGCATGAAATTTGATGAGAAATGCCATGTTTTTGGAAGCATTGTTGAATTGTTCTGTTTATAAATTCAGTCCCTCCATTTGACCGAAATTGTTTGATTTTGTATGGTAACTATTTTTCTATCATAGTATGAAATGTGATAAAGATAGAAGGTACTTCCGACTTGCAATACATGGGAAATATCCATATGAACCGAGAGTAATCATCTATGAAAATGACATAGTATCTCAAACCTTGATTTGAGGTAACTGGGGCTGGGCCCCATACATCTGAATGTACTAATTCAAGGGGGATTTTAGCTCTGGAGCTAGAAGTGGGAAATTTCAATTTGTGGGTTTAAGCTATCCTACAACAAGCACATAATGCAGAAAATATAGGTATGTGAAGTTGTTTATTGGTGGTGGAGATAGTTGCCATAGTTCTGGTGTTGGGGTGACCCAGTCTGTTATGCCATATGGTTGCGTCTTGATGTTTGTGGAATGCAGATAATGCTTGTGGTTGAGATATGCTGGGACGGGTTGGTACTAGATATAGGCCCTTATGGCTGGAACCCTGAAGCAATATTTTGTTTGTCTTGATATCCTTTACATGAAAATCGTGAGCATCAAATGAGATAGAGATGTTATTGTCTCTAGTTAGATGATAAATTGAAAGTAGATTGTGAGAGATAGTAGGTATATGGAGAATTTTGGGTAGTTGAAGCTTATTAGTTGGAGTTGGTAAAATGTCTGCTCCGGTGTGAGCTATGGGTAATGTACTTCCATCTCCAATGGCTATGTTATATGTACCATGGTATGGTAGTGGATCACCAAGAGTAAGGTTGTTGATGTCATTTGTAAGGTGGGATATTGCACCTGAGTCCAAGTACCAATCTGGGTTGATACTGTCATTTGTGGCTGTAAATGCAGTGTTTACTTTCTGCGGTGGTGGTGTGTAGTTTATGTTAAATCTGTGTCAACATGTTGTCGTTGAATGACCTTTCTTATTGCATATCTGGCATATAGATGTTTGTATTGTTTGACTGGTGTTATTGTTGGGACGAGTATTTGTTGTGGGAATCTCCCTCTGGCTCTTCTTCCTCTACCTTTTGTAGAGTATAAAGCAGTATTCTGATCAGGTATTTGTGATATTTGGTTGCTTCTGTGTTGAGATTAATCTCTTCGCTGATCAAGAACGCCTATAAGTCGTCAAGACTTAATGGCAGTACCATGGTTCTAATTGTGCTTTTGAATAAATCACATTCACATGATTTGATAAAAAAATGTGCTTTTGAATGATTTATAAGCTGCTGGTAATCCATTGAGTGTGTAAAGAATTATGTCTTCTTTATCCGTTGTGGCTCATACTGCTACTATCTTGTCTACCAATGTTTTCACTTCATTTAGGTATTCTGCCATTGTGTTTTGTTTCATTGAAACATTATGTAACTCATTTTTTGAGTTGGATCAATCGTGATATGTTGGAAGATTGCAATTTTCTTTCAACTGTGGTCCATATGTCTGCTGAGGAGTCAAGATTAAGAACATATGGTAGTATGGTTGGGGTTATGATGAAGCATAGTGCGGCTGCTAAGTTCTGATCGATCAAAACCCATTCAGTATATTTGGGGTTTGTAATGGTTTGAACATTGGGTGTTTGCTGAAGATGGGGTAGCGGTGAAATTGTGGGATCTATGAAGTTTGCAAAACCATTAGTCCTGAGAAGTTTAGTTACCTGAGATCTCCATATGGCATAGTTCTCGCATGATAACTAGGTGGGAACGATGGTTTTGATATCTGCAATGACAAATTTTAGTGATGCATGTATTGTGCAAGAGTTGATTTGCGGATCTGTAGATGGACTCTCTGTCTGGGACGAAGATGATTGAGCCATGAGAAGTTTTTCAAGAAATTCTTACCTCTCGCTTCAATCTTCAGTCTTTGTTGAATTGTGGCTCTGATACCATAAAGAAAACGACAATAAGAGAATAATGCTGACAGTGAAATGAAATCTTTTTATTTCATTCTCACTTGGTATTATCTTATATACACTGTCCTATTTATGCATTTCCTAAGTTAGAATATGTGGCTATGGTTACATGTGTTTGTTTCTATTGTGTGGTTGTAATTTAGTGTGACATGTGCTCTGTTTTGATTATTTCGGCTGAATTTGTTCTGTCCTTTTATAAAGCATATATAAATCTATAATATGAAAATACAAGCTGACTATATGTATACCAAAAGCTAATGAAAAAGATGACCTCGAAGAACATGCAAAAATCCTTAGTTATCCATTGCCAAGTTTCGTAAGGAAGCAACTGCGAAGGAGAAGTGATAAATGATACGCAACACACAATCGATGACTGTCAACGAGATGTGGGTTGCATAATTGACCAGGTGCGACGTGTAGTTAGTGAATGAATGATGAAAAAAAGTTGAAGAGTAGCATATGCTTGCAGGAGAAATTATTAGGTGCGGACACCAGACAAAGAGAACCGTCCAATTTTCTCTATGTATATAGTAAAAGCATAGTTACTGTAGCAGCTACACTTTGACTGTGTTTTTTCGGTAGACAGAGAGAAAACCAGTCGGTTCTCTCCGTCCGATGCCTGCACCTAATAATTTCCATGCATGCGCGTGCATAATTCTAAGCGCACATGTGTGATGGCCAAGCATGAAGGGTGGGCAATCGTGTTAGCATGCAACAACAATAATGAGCAAGTGCTATACGTGGTACTCATTCCATTATCTTTTAGATTCACGAACTCCAAAAAAAATGCGAAAATCTAATGTTCCCAATGTTCAGCTCATACTTACTAAGCTATACATAGTATTAACACAAAATAATATAGAAATATAAAATCATGCTACACAACTCTCACGTATCAGGACTTTAGCATTCATCAATTAATGAACTGCACTACTCTTTTACTAAAGTAATCAATTCAATATATATATATATATATATATATATATAATATTACTAATAAATAAAATAATATTAAAAAAAAATCAAAAGTCCACTATTCCTATAGAACTGACCTGCATTCCAATCCTCTGTCTCTCATCAGCTTCTCCACTCTCTCCACATCTTCTAGCCTCCCTGCATCGCTATATATCCTCCTGAGCAGCTCAAAATTGTGCTCATTGTCCGGCTCCAGCTCGAACAACCGCTCTGCTGCCGTCTCCCCTGTGGTAACATTGCGGTGCACCGAGCACGCATAAAGCAGCGCACCCCACACCGTCGGGCCACCATCAAACGGCATCATCCTTGACACAAGCTCGAAGGCCTCCTCAACCAATCCAGCTCTTCCAAGCAAGTTCACCATGCACCCGTAATGCTCCATTCCAGGCTTTATTCCATGTCTCACTTGCATTTCATCAAACAGTTTCCGCCCAACTTCTACAAGGCCCAAATTGGCGCAGGCCGAGAGCAACGACACAAAGGTTACGTCATCCGGCACCATCCCTGATTCCAACATCTGCCGGAATATACTGAGCACCCGCCGGTCTCTTCTGTTGGCGGAGATAATGGCGTTCCAGGACACCAAATCCTTTTCCGGCATGGAATTGAAAATGAACCTCGCCTGGGCTAATTGGCCGCACACAGAGTACATGGTGATCAAGGAGTTGGCTACGGATACGGCTCGCTGGAGCCCACGGCGGAGGACCCAGCCGTGGATTTCGAGGCCGATGTTGCAGTTCGCAGAAGCACAACCGGCGAGCAACGAGGAGACGGTCACAGTATCTGGCTCGAACCCATCCGCTAGCATTCTTCTGCAGGTTTCAATGGCTTCAGGAAACAATCCATGACGTATGTAGCCGTTAAGCATGGAGTTCCAGGCGATGGGATCGCGGTCCGGGATCTGATCGAAGATACGACGGGCACGGGCGATGTCGCCGCATTTGGCGTACATGTCGACGAGTGCGTTGAGCGCGAAAGGGTCGGTGGCGAAACCGGAGCGGACGAGGTGGCGGTGTACGGACTCGCAATGAGGGACCGATCCGAGGCCAGCGCAGGCTTTGATGACGCGAGGGAAGGTGAAGCGGTCAGGCTCGACGTCCTCCTCCTCCATCTGATGGTAGAGTGCCATAGCATCCTCGTGGAGGCCTGCGTCTGCGTAGCCGGAAATGAGGGCGTTCCAGGGGAAGGCAGCTGCTTTATGACTGCGGGGCAAGTTGTCGAACAGGTTGTGGGCTTGCTCGACGAGGCCGCAGGAGGCGTAGAGACGAATCAGCTTGGAGGAGAGGTTGGGGCTAGAATGAAGGAGGGAGGCGGGGACGAGGCGGTGGAGAGCGGCGGCACGGCGTGGGGAAGGATCGATGCGGTAGCAGAGCTCAAGGAGGGAGGAGAAGGTGGAGGGTTCGACGCGTATGCCGCCGGCGAGAGCGGACTGCAGGTCGAGAAATATGCGCTCGAGGGCTTCGTCGCGGGTCAGGGCGGTAGACGTCTCGGGGATGAGGAGCGGGGTGGGGGATGACTTCGGATAGGGGAGGCCTGGGAGGGATCCGATACCGTCGGCGTTCCGGCGGAATTTGAGTTGACGTGTTTTGGCCCTCTTTCTCTTTGCTTTGAGATAGATTTGGCGAAAAGAAAGCGGCGATGTAATGGCGACAGGCGAGGTGCGTAGATGGAGAAGATTCATGTTATCAGATGATGAATCAGATGAGGTTTCAGAAACGATCGTAATATGCTATCAAGTATTTCATGCTTGGATCTTGCGAACTTCTTATTTGAAACAATTGAAAGGAATAACACGTAAAAAAAAAGTTTTTATTTTTATTTTTTTCTAGCTGCAAATTTTACAATGCGATACAAACTATACGCATTTTTCTTTTGTTGCTATGTCGTGCATATAAATTTTCGATGTAAAATTATTTAGGCTGATAGTATGTGTAGCTTCATAAAAGGAATGACTTTCAGGATAAGATTGACATAGAAAGTTTGCCATTTGAGATCATGCGTCAATGCTTGGACCAGGATAAGCGGGCAAGCTCATGATTCGGTTGTCTAATACTGGACTTCCAATAGTAAAATGATAGAGGCTCTGGAACTCCAATCCCTTCAAGCCAAGAACCTTGTGAACTGCACAACATAAGAAAATTTTACTGATGGGTATCTTATTCGCTATGAAAAATGCATGAAAGTAAAAACATGAGATAGAAAGTGAAAAGTAAAAAAAGAAAAAAAAAAGATTATTTCACATAACCAATAACAATCTGATTTCAATTTTCATTGCAGGTGGTTTAAAAATCTACATAAAGGCCCAACAAATGATGAAATTTCATTGTTCTATTTCATAAATAAATAAATTCATTATTTTAATTATATATAAATCATTTAAGATTAATTTATCATATTGTAATATAAAAAGTTTTTAGTCATTTAATCACTCATACCATTATTTATATATACGACGGCGGGAGTCGGGCCGGTAGTTGGGATTGGGCGCTAGAGATGCAGGTCTGGCAGGCGGAGGGTCGAGGGGCTTCAATTCCTTTAGGGTGTCTGAGGTCGCGATCAAGAGAGGGCTTGGAGTCGGATAGGCACTGGCGTGCGGCTTCGGCTTCCGGTGTGGACGGAAGGCAGACAAAGACGGATGGGGGAAGCTCAGACGAGCACGGAGGCAGCTTGAACAAGATCGGCAAGTGAGAAGGAAGAGATGGAGACTAGGCTTCGACTTTCTTGCATTTGTAAGTATCGAATGCTTGTGTTTGGTCCCATGAGAGAGTGTGGGCGTCTGTTTTTGTGCCATGAGTGGGAGTTAGAGCAGTTTGTGAGATCGTGGAGGAAGTGGGGTCGGCGGTTGGGCCCCATCGTGGGTTACAGGTGAACATGGTGTATTTGTTGAATCTACAAGGGTCCTTGGGGTGACAACAAGACCTTAATACAAAAATAGATCAGTCTTAAATAGGAGAGAGAAAGATTTGGTAAAGAAATTTAGATTAGATTCAGCCTGACAAATTCAACCACCATACATGTTTTCCTTTAACTCCCTCTCTCTAGTCTTTCTCTCTCTTGATCTCCTGATAAACAAAGAAGATTAATCTCCATCTGTCCTACTATCCTAAAATGTCACCCTTTTTATTTAAAAAGGAAGGTGTGTGTTACAAAAAATAGGAAAATCTATTACAAGAAATCAGAAAAACAATCACAAACATTGCGAAGTTATCTAGGAAAGGGGACATTGATTCAGATAGTTAGCATCATAATCTCACTTGAGATGCACGACAATAGATCAATCAACAATAAAACTTTATGGCTCTTAGCAAAAGAGCATTCTCAAGAATCTTAATTCCTTCTGAACTCCAACAATCGTTTCATGGAATCTTCTTGGGAACCATCTCCATCATTTCTTATTGAATCCCCTCAACAAGTCAACTGATATTCTGCTTAGTGGGCACTAATTGTGTAGTGGGTCCTAATTGTGAGGACTACGTGAACATCCAAGTAATGAATTCAAAATGTTAAAAGACATGACATGTGAATGAATAAATGCAGATATATGTAATTTCTGATAGGATATTATTGTTATTGCTTCCATCTTATTAATCTTTTCATATGCATATCAAGCTTTCCCCAGGAATTTTCTATTGAGTATAAATCAACCAATTATTTTTATATCTCAAATTGATAAGTCGATACTTGGTGGGGAAGTCGAAGGGAATCAAGTGGAAGGCAGGTCCAGCCAAATGAATTTTTGAGTGCTTAGAGAGGTCATGTCTTAAGAGCCAAGAGGATTAGATTTGTAATAGAATTGCTCATGTACTCCCTTAGATCGGCACAAATTTGATTGGACTTAACGCCTCAAGCTATGAATGTTTGAATTGTCTTGAATGGCCAAGTTATTTTGTTATCATCTTTTCTATCTGGCTTTCTTTGATGAGATTTTTGGTTCATACTACTAGTTGTGTTAAGCGTTACAGTTTCCTACAAGTTAGTCTGGGAGACATCCCAAGTTGAGTAATCTGGTCAAATCAACAACTCTGTCAAGATTCTAAGAGGGTATTCAATGAAATTTTTAAGACTTTTACTCAATATATCACTCCCTTGGATTCAACTGAGTTTGGGTTGCAAAGATTGATAAAAGGCTTAAGATCTATGATGGACAGACACGGACACGGTGACACGGATACGACACGACACGGACACGTCAGTTATTGAAAATATAGGACACGGACACAGGTTGGACACGCTATTATAGTTTTTATATTTAAAAAATAGTGTATAAAAATTAAATAAGTATAATTTTAAAAATAATTTGAAAATAATAAGTCATTTAACTAGAATTGTGCTTAAAATGATTAGTATCAGGATGTCGAGAGTCGGACATCGATGCTGTTTATCAGTCACCGAGAGAGGAGATGAAAATATCTTCACTGCAAAAAAGAAATGAAAATGAGAATATTCGATGATTAGGTATTAAGTGCGGACGTTGATTTGGTGTTGTGGATAGGAAATAAGAAATTTATTTTAAATCCCGCCAAATAAAAGAAATTATATTTAAAAAAATTCATAAAATATTTAAGATACGAGTGTCAGACACGTGTGTCCAATTTGTATTTAATATTTATTAATCGGACACGTTTTCGGCGTGTCCGACACGTGTCAGAGGAGTGTTAGGCGAGTGTCGTGTCGAACACGGTGTCAGACACTGCACGCCTATTTGAGGAGAAGTGTCGGTGCATCATAGCTTAAGATTGTAGATTCTTAGACAAGTGTTTAGTTGGGTGAAGTGTGAGTAGTCAAAGTGGATCACTAGACTTGTAAAAATTTGAATATCGTAAGCTTAGTATGAATGTTTAGATTTTATATACAATTTGTGCATAAGAGGTAATAAGTTGATAATTATAAAAATAATTTGTCGAAAAAGGTGGGGGTTGGTGATAGTTTTTCATAGATTTACAAATAAATGCAACACTTTTGTTTTGCAGCTATTTGCTTGCTACTTCACAAAAATTTTCAACGTGAGAAGAATTTTCCATTGCAAAACCCATTTAGAGTATGATAGCTACAGGAAAACTGATATTTGAATTCTATAGGGGAAAAATATTAAAAAAATATTAAATACCCACAACTTTTAAAAATTCTATTTCTTTCACAAACTATTCCACCACTAAATTTATAGACAACTGCAGTTACCCATACATATCTTAAGAGACAAATTATGATTCCAGGAGTTGATGGGATAATGATGATCTTTAGACACACCCCAGATGAATTGATGGGATTTCAAAATGCACACACAAGGAATGGTTACCCTTTCGTGATTTTACTCACTCGACCAACAAGAATGAGACTAGAACTCGAGGCGTGAGAACTTGTAATGTTAAAAAATTCATAAGAGGAATGTAGATTTTGACCAGCCCTACTAAGGCAAGCTTACTTTTGATAAGATTTTTTATCTAGCCTTTCTAGTCCTGTTGACCTTTAAAGTTTCCCATCAATTAAGGTTAGGATGTGTCCCAGCTCGAGTAATCTGATTGATATTGCAACATCTCGACTCATCATAAACTTAGATTTAACTAAGTTTTAGATTGTGACAAATGATTCTAGGTTCTTAATATATCCTCAATAGTGCATCCTAATTCCTAACCCTGTAAGAATTTTGTCCATCAAATAGATAAGCAACATGTTGCCCGAGTTGAACACAATTTGAAGAGGTTCACAATATGTCATAAGGACTTCTCTATCCTATTTAGTCACAGATACAAGACCAAGCTCACCATCGAGGAAATATGTTTAAAATCGATTAGATGGGATTCTTAAAGGTATTTAAAGGCTCCTGAATGATAGGAAAATAATGGCCCACCTTGAAGAGATAGACAAAGTAACATAACTCTCAAGGGATAGTTATTCAGGGAATCTCCCACGCTAAGAAGAAAGCTTGTTAAAATGTTGTATGTATCCACTAACCGTCGAGCACTCCAAAGTCAGGGAAGACTTGTATTACCACACAATCATATTGAAGTTGCCAACAAACAAAGCATTTTCAACATACTTCTCAACATCTTAGCAAAAGGGATAACTCTGACGAGAAGAAATAAACTCAAGTTATGACAAGCTCGACAACTTTGTTTTGTTTTTTTTCATGCCCTTTTGAAGTAACAGAAGTAAGCCAACAAGTATCTTGTGAAGAGTAAATGACAAAAAATTGCATAAAAATTGAATCCTCTACACGTCGCCACATGTTGTACTCCCTATGGATCGAGTCTCCAATAAAGGTAATCCAAACAATAAGAACAATCTAGGCCGAGTAAGACCCAATCAACTACAAGGATCACAATGAAACACTTCTGGAACACCCAAAAGAAGTGGTTAGATGCCAAAATTTCTTACTAGAGAAATAGATTAAACCTACTTGATCCAAAAATAAACATACTCGGGTATGATATATCTTCTCTTCCCAACATCTTTTTAAACACATTGGAGCAAATGTAAAAGTATAAGACCAAACTCCATAAGAAAAGAACTGTTAAAAGGATATTTTTATCATGGCTACTCAAATAAGTCAAATGTGATAAATAACTATCATTATAGTAAAGTCAGCAGTTTGCGGTGAATTTTATGGCGGAATATTGTTTGTTGAAAAAGTCGATGGATTTGCGACATAATTTTTTGTCGAAATTTTTTGATGGACTTTGTGACGGATTTGCGGAGGAAATTTCACCACAAATTTGCCGCGGGAAATTCCGCCGCAAATCCAATGCCACTCCCCTGCAAATTCGCCGCAAATAACATATCCAATCGATTGGTTGTGCATCCGTTTCATTTGCTCGTTATGTTCTTCGACTTCCCTCCTCCGCCTTTTCTTCCTTTTCAACTTCGGCTTTGGCTTTGCTCTTCGACTTCGCCTCCTCCACTGCTTGGTTCCTAGATTTGTATCTCCGCTTCTTCGGCTATTCTCTGGTTGTTCATTGCTATTCAACTTGTGTGAAAGGTTGTTTTGAATGAGTCGCTAAATAACTTCTTCGCCTCCTTCGACGATGTCCTTCTTGTTGCATCAAAAGTCACACCTCACCGTTCTTCTATTGGGTCGAAAGGAACAAGGATTGCAAGAGCTTGGTAGTTGCCAAGGTATCGAT